TTGATGATTGTGAATTTTAGGAGATTTCAGACTGCAAAAGTGCATAATGTAGCCATGTGCCTAGGGATAGTGATAAAGATGAATAGTTTTTAGATAGTGTGGCAATTGGCTTCAGATTTTGTTTTCCAATGCTCTACCCTGTTAATTCCCCAAAGCCTTTTATCTAATTTATTCCCTAGTGTTAGTAAATGTTCATGCTGTATAGAAATGTATTGCATTTGTCATTTTGGTAGCCAGTAACTCTTTTCAAAATGAGCAGTTTCTAATGCCTTAACCATGAAAATTAAAATTAAAGTGACCAACTCCTTTATCACTACCTCTGTGGAATCAAGCTCCACCAAGTCAGGCATGCTTACATATTTTATTTATTGCTTACATCTTTGGTTCTTAGCTTCTTCCTTGATGCTTATAAAATTACCTAGCATACAGAAAAGAGTAGGGCAATCATCATCAACATCCAGATCCTCAGCTCTTTTGTGATCTCTTAGCCTTCACAGTGCTCTCACTGGTGTCACTTACCTGGTATTCCTCAGCAGCCCTTTCCACTGAAGGGTGGTTGTGAGCCCTGTGCTCCTGAGGGTTGCAGCAGAGCCAACAGAGCAGGTTCTTGTTCTCCTCACAGAAAATCTTCTTTGTCTGCTGGTGGGTCACACATATATTTTTCTCAGAGTTCAGGAATTGCCTGAGATGAGCCAGCCTTGCGATAGATGTAAGATTCTTCAGAAGAATATTATTTTTGACATCTCCCTGCTGTGATGGCTCCCTGCACACAGGGCAACAGGCAAGAATTTGGGCTTGTCCCCAGGGAACGAAGAAACAGGGCCAACAAAAGCTGTGCCCACAGCCTATGGTGACTGGGTATATAAGGTACTTCAGGCAGACAGAGCAAGTGAGTTCTTTCTGGAACACTTGTGGTATTTCTGAATCCATTATTCTGAGGGAAGAAAACCATAAGGATTTAATCATCTACCCTTAAAGAGATAAAGACCTGAACCAATTTTTACTCATATTCTCATTGAATAGCACACTACTGTCTAGGGAATAATAAACTTGCTTTTGTACATGACAAAACAGAACAAACTGAGTAAATAAAGAATGCAAATAAATCAAATATTTAAGTGAGTAGCTCTCTATACAAGTCTAAAATATTATCAAGCACCTTTCATACTGTGAAAATATGTGATTATCTTAATCTGCTCCAGAAAACAAAGACTTCTTTACAGTTTTTATTTAGCTAAAAATCTGGGTTTTCATTTCTACTATAGTTGAACTTCTAAGAATGGAAGAGATAAAATATTCCTAAAAATATTTTTGGATCTACAGGTAAAAAATTATACATTATCTGAGAAATAGTTTCAGAGTGCTTATAAACTATGTAGGAGCACTGGGTATGGTAGCACACACCTGAAACAGAAGCAGTGCAAGCTCCTCACCAGCCTCAGCAAAAGCAAGGCTCTAAGCAACTCAGTAAGACCCTGTCTCTAAATAGAATCCAAAATAGAAATGGGGATGTGGCTCAGTGGTCCAGTGCCTCTGAATTCAGTCTCCAGTACAATAAATAAATAAACAAATAAATAAATAAATAAATAAAAAGAAAAGAAAAAAAGTTTAAACTATGAAATTACATTTGATTTTGTTTGGGAAAGTAGTAGCTACAGCTCATGTGGCAATTGTATACGTACCTTAAGAATTACTCTGTGGTTTCAGCAGTTCTTGCTGCAGAATTGAAACTATGAATTAAGCTTCAGGATCAGGCTCTCAAGGTGTGGAGGGGATCGATTTTGAAGTCATTCAGCCAGGTGAGCTTCAAACTCTACTCGGGAGAAGAATGAGCTGGTCTCCTGGAGTGCACTTTTATTGAGTCCCTGAAGACCACACCCACTTCTTCCTTGATTGCATTTAGGGTGTTTCCAATCAGTGTTAGGTAATTAGTGTAGGTAATTAGATTAGCATGGGCGATTAGATTAGTGTGAGTGGTTTGGATGTGTGGGTAATTAGTTTTCAGATAGAAAATTTTGATGTAATCCCTTCTCTAATCTTCATAAACAAACATTTAGAGTCTTGCCCTGGGTTACTGACTTAAAAAAAAAATTGATGGTTTTTGGGGAGGGAAAAGCGGCCAAAGGGGATTATTCAAAGTACTGAAAACCTTCTCCAGGGATCCACCACAGTGGCACCCCCCAGGCCAGGGACACACTCTTGCCCACAGTTACTGACTTAAAAAAATTGAATCCCCAAATTCAGATTATATCTAAAGATTTTCAGTTTTGTTCTTTTATTTTTCTCCTTTAAGAACAGAAAGAGGGTGTCATCATATGTATTTTTTTAGTATGTGTTTTTGAACATTTATAAACATTTTTCTTTCTGACTTTTGCTTTAGTTTTATTCTCCCAGGTGGAGAGGGATTAAGTTTAGAAATTTTGTTTTCCTCACCAGCTGAGGTGGCCCACACCTATAATCCCAGTTCCTGAGGCTGAGGCAAGAGTATCAGAAGTCCAAATGAAGCCTCAGCAATTTAGTGAGGCCCTAAGCAATACAGAAAGGCTCTATCTGTAATTAAAATATTTAAAAGGGCTGAAGATGTGGTTCAGTGGTAAAGTGTCCCTGCATTCCATTTCTGTTTAAAAAAAGAGAGAAAGAAAGAAAAAAAGAAAGAAAGAAAAAAGAAAGAAAGAAAGAAAAATAGTTTTGTTTTTATTTTTGTCACATCAATCTCATGCTTTCCCAAAAGAGACCCAGGACTCTTCCTTGGGGCTACTTCTTAAGTAATGCCACATACACAGCATGAACTGCAAGAGCAAAGATGGCCACATTCCCCACACCCCATTCTGTGTGGCAGTGAAAATTTGTCACCCTGAAGCCTCTATTGATTCTTTCTAGCTTTGGTAGACTTTCCTGGAACCTCCCTTTTACACAGATTAGTATCAAAGATGATTTTGTCCAATAGTTACTAATTATGATTTTAGGATGTAAAAACAATGAGACTTCAAAAAATAACATATTGGTTGGTATGGTATGGAAGCATGAGTTTTGGTTTATAATACAAGAATCCTGGGCTATAAAGAAAAATGTATAGAAGTCACTGCCCTGAGATTTCCTCTGCTACAAAGGCATTAGGCTGTCAAGGAGGCCCTATTTCTTCCTCAGATTATCAGAGTGATAGATGAGGGAAGCACCTCATTTCCAGGGACCTCAAATGTTCACATTTGCTAAATTTCTTCCCAAAGGAAGAAATCAAGTAGATACAACCTCTCAGACTCTGAATTATAGACAGAGTGGCTATATAGTACTATGGTTTAAATGTGGATTTTTCCCAACAAAACTCAAGTTGAAATATTATTCCATAGAGCAGTAGTATTTTGAGATGAGGTCTTTAAGTCATTAAAAAGAATTAGTGCCTTTCTCCTTGGACTGAGCCTGAATGAAGGAGTAAATTCTGGGCCCTTGGAAAACGAGTCATTTTCTAGAAAGTGGGTTGTTATGAAGGGTGTCACACATGTGTTCAGATTTTCTTCACTGGACAATTTCTCCTACTGCTTCTCTGCTATGAGCAGATTCAGCATGAAACCCTCACCAAAAATTCAGGCATCATAACCTAGAACTTACCTGTCTTCAGAACTGTGAGATAAATGAATCTTTTCTTTATAATTTACCCAGATTCAGGTATTATATTAAAAGAACAGAAAATGGACCAACACAGAAAAGAAAGAGACACATTCTCTTACATTGAATTTTACCTTTATTAAATCAAAAATTATCTAATCCTTCATTTTGTTACATTTCACAAATAAAACCAGAAAATATTTCAGACTTCATGTATCATAGGTGATTATATTCCCAAAATAAATTAATTAAAAAATGCATAAATTTCAAAACTTTATGGGATTTTAATATTATCACCACAATTAATAACAGATTAAGTAGATTTTTACAAAATTTGAGGTAACCTAAACTTAAAAAGATATATTCTGTTTGACATGTTTCATAAGGCCCAAGGGAGAGGGCTTCTTTAGATATTGGATTTTCCATAGTATTAGCGGCACAGTCCTTATGTATGTCTGGTCAGAAGTGACTACAGCAGAAAAAAGCTTTGATATGGGGAGAGAAAGAGTAGGAAGAAATACTGTATATCAAAAAACTTTGAGAAACATTAGTAGAGATCACAGTTCTACCTTCACAATCTAGGAATACTCTTATTCAGCCAATGGCCTTAGTACTTACTGAAAAACAAGTATAGAGGTGGTAAAGAGAGTGTAATGGGAACCCTCCTTAACACATCCAAAGAGGAAGAGCCCTTCACCTCATCCATCTTGTCATCTTTGTTCCCTTTCCAGTAATCATTACAGACTCCAAAAGCCCAGTTCCAAGAGTCTCCCACTTCCATCTCCCAGTAATATCTGCCCGTGGTAAAAGTCTGAAAACCCTAGGCAAGAAAGCATTCTGATGTTGGAGTGATCCAGGAGGCACCTTGAAGATCACATCCAACATTCACACTTCTCAACTCTCAATACAGGAAGATGTGGCAGTTGAATCTTTCAGACACAGAGTAAGAAAAAAAAAAAACCTGTAGATCTGTCTGTAAACAGAATAACAAGTTAAAGTTCTAAGAAAAGTCATTCTGTGAAGAACTGACATTACTGGAAACTGTGAAGTTATAGCAGAAATGATGATTTTGGCTGTAACATCGAATACAATTGTGGGCATAAAGAGTTAATCTGCAGAACAAATAAATTTTTATGTATTTGTTATCTATTTATTTGTTTTCATTTATTTGTTATTTATTTATTTTATTATTTATTTGCCACAGATATGGAAAATTGTTGAAAATGTGAAAATTTACATACTGAGTCAAATATAAGATCAATATCTTTGAATTTAATTTTTATTTCAAAATAGCTACAGAAAGTATGCCCTTAACTCTCTTCAGGCATCAAAAATATTAGTATCAAAATAAAATTCCCATTTCTAAAACATGGTGTCATTAATTTGTATGATGTGAAGATTTCCTCTCTTTTCAGCTTCTCTATACAACTGGATAAAACGATTTATACTTTTTAGAAAGAGTAATTTAAAATTTATTTATGCAAAACTCCTCATTATCCCTGACTCTTGTGCATTCTCTGCACTGCCCTGCATTTTTGCCATTTGACATGTAGCTTTTTATACTGAGATTTAACATGTAGCATTTTTTTATCAATTTATACAATTCATTTTATTTTTATTATTTCTTCTTGGTGATAAAAAGAGCTAAAAGAATTGCATAAAATCTAGTCATAATTATAAAAAGGCATAACCAGGGGATTTACTTCTGGAATGTGACAAGGGAATAATCTGAGGTGTGTCATTAATTCAGTTTCCTTTACTAATAATACTAAGTTTTCTTTATGTGTCAACTTCACTCAGTGGAGTCAGTAAGGTAGATTTCCCTTCTCAAAATGAAGGAGAATTATCCACCCAACTGACAGACTGCATAGAACAAAAAGCAAATGATGGGAGGTTTTACCATTTCTTGCTTACTTGCCAAAGCTGAGACACCTCATTATAGTTCTCTTTACCTTGGACTATGATTTACATTAATGACTCCTCTGGTTTTCAGGTTTTCAAACTCAGGCTGAATTATAGCACCAGATTTTCAGAATGTCCTTCTTGCATATAAAAGATCATGTGACTTCTCAACCTCCATATCTGTGTGAGCCATTTCCTCACAATGAAGCAATCTCTCTATGCCTGTATGCAAGTTCTATTTCTGTGCATAAACCTGCCTAATACACCTAAGAAAACTCACCATGACATAAGAGAAAAGGAAATGGATAAATTATTAAACACAGTATATTAAAACCAATAATAAGAAATATACGTTTTCTTAGTGTGTCAAAATTTATATTTAAATATGTATATCAGCATGATTTGTATCACTTTTTATTACATTT